GAGAGAGAAAAGGAAGGCAACATGGCCTAATATCAATATAATTCTGCACGGAACGACTATATATCTCTTCCCCCCCAAATGGCGCTTGGGCTCAGGAAAGTTTAAACTGCTTCCTTAAGCAAGATTTTCTTCCCTGGCCAAGAGGATGACCGATTGAATTCCTGAGATTGGACTTTTGTTTAGCAGGGCCATAAATTATTCTTTGAAATAGAGCTTGTGCCAATAATGGGCTGCCTGGCCTTAATTGGAATGGAAGCATCTTCAGGCTACAGTTTCAAATATTTCTTGAAAAGCAAAGAACAAAACAAAAGAGAGAGAAGAGAGAAAGTCATAATTTCTGAGACCCGTTTAGTTCCCCGTTGTCCGCACGTCTCTGTGTAAAAGAAGGTGTAGGATTGTGTTTTTGCCGTGTTTGTTCGATGCAAAAGACACTGGTGTGCACACCCAAACGCACACGCTGTGTGCGGGATAGCATCGGACACCCTCCGTCTGGACCTTGTCGTTCAGTTGCCACTAAGCCAGGGGTCTTCAAACTTGGCCCTTTTAGGACTTGTGGACTTCAACTCCCAGAATTCCTCAGCCAGGCACATGTGCCTGGCTGAGGAATTCTGGGAGTTGAAGTCCACAAGTCCTAAAAGGGCCAAGTTTGAAGACCCCTGTCTTAAATCTAACAAACAAAATGGAGGCTGGCTGAGGAATTCTGGGATTTGAAGTCCACAAGTCGTAAAAGGGCCACGTTTGAAGACCCCCACGCTAAGCCTTGAAACGACTCGAGTGCCTTTGGGCGCCACAAAAACACGGGATGCTACCTGGCACAATTGCTTCGCCCGATCTTTGCAGTCAGAGATGTATCGTGCACGATAGCTGCAGGTTTAGCCTCTGAACATTGGTACGGGTGGTCCTTGGCTTGCCACCACAAGAGGGGACGTTGTTTCCTGGGTGGTTGTTAAGTGAGTGGTGCCTGATTTTATATTGGCCAAGAGGCCAATAAATGAAGAATTTCTTTCAACTTGCTATAGTTTAGTTCTTCCTCCTCTTCCTCCTCCTCCCCTCCCCCTCCTTTTCTTCCCTCTTCCTCCTCTCCCCCTCCTCTCCTCACCTTCCTCCTAACCTTCCTCTTCCTCCCCCCTCCTCCCCCTCCTCCTCCTCCTCTTCTTCTTCTTCTTCTCCTCCTCCTTCTTCTCCTTCTCTTCCTCTTCCTCCTCCTTCTTCTCCTCCTCCTCCCCCTCCCCTCCTCCTCCTCCTCCTCTTCTTCTTCTTCTTCTTCTTCTTCTTCTTCTTCTTCTTCTTCTTCTTCTTCTTCTTCTTCTTCCTTCTTTTTCTTCTTCTTCTTCTTCTTCTTCTTCTTCTTCTTCTTCTCCTTCTTCTTCTTCTCCTCCTCCTCCTCCTCCACCTCCTCCTCCTCTCCTCCTCCTACTTCTCCTTCTCCTCCTCTTCTTCTTCTCCTCCTCCTCCTCCCCTTCCTCCTCCTCCTCCTCCCTCCTTCTTTCTTCCTTGTCCCTTCTTCCCCTCAGTAATGCGATACGTTTCATTCTGCGTTTTTACTAGCCACTCGTTCAACTGATATCAACTCCTAATAATAGTAACATAAGCTCACATCCCTACCGTAACGGAGACTTGCAAATCCTTCTTTTCTCCCCTGGGCTAACTCTTTGTTGAAGCCAAGGTCAGACCGATCTAGGCGAAGGCGCGCAGAGGACCTGTAGGAAAGAAACCGCTTGGTGGGCGTGTTGATGCAACGGGTGATAAAAGAAAGCTTGGTGTTGCTGTAAGAAAGAAGCTGCTGTTAAAATTCATGCAGACCCAAAGAGGAAACTCAGGAACTGAGTGATGAGGACACTGCTACTTTGTCTCTTTGCTCTTTGTGCAAAGTTGGAAGTGTAGTTTGCAACCACTGCTCAATCTAAGGAATTTATCAATTTCTAATCCGCGATCAACTCCCCTCCAGCTGAAATTGATTCACTGCAAGGCAGTTTCACACACAGTCAGTCCTCGACTTACAGCCCTTTAGTGTTTAGTGACTGCTTGAAGTTCCAGCGGCGCTGAAAAAGGTGCTCAGGACCGTTTTTCACACTCACACGACTGTGGCAGCGTCCCTGTGGTCACGCGATCCAAATTGAGAGACTTGGCAACTGGCATGTACTTACGACGGTTTGCCGTGTCCTACATGATCCCCTGCTGTGACCTGACAAGCAAAGTCAATGGGAGAAGCCAGATTCACTTTACAACCGTTTAACAACTGCAGGGATTCACTTACACGACTGCGGCAAGGAAAGTCGTAACCTGGGGCAAAACTCATTGAATAAATGTTTCACTTGGCGACAGAAATTTTGGGCTCCATTGTGTCAGAGGATTACCCATGTGAGAAAAATACAAGTAGGAACCGTTCGGGCCAAAGAAGGCAAAAGTATTAAATCGGACTGTCTTCCCCGCATAACGTCCCTTGCAAATATGGACACTCTTAGGAAGATATTCTTGGAATATTCTTTCTGCCATAGGCTTATCCAGATCAAATAGGAAATAAAAACGGGATCATGATGTGTGTGTGTGTGTGTGGGGTGGGAAACAGGCACTTGGTATTCAGATTTTGCTTAGAAAAACGGCTGTGTAAAATTTGGGAGATGTTCAGCTCTTCTGTTCTGTCAGGCAGAGTGGATTTAGTATTCCGATGATATTAAAATGTAAAATAAACAAACGTCTGTCTCCCGTTTCCTGCAGAGAAGAGGAATTAAGAGGCATTTGGCTGGCTGCGTCTCTATCCACATAGCCTAGATCTGTCTACCTACTGTTGACAGAGAACGAACACGGAGGAGAGGAGCCATAATCTTGGCTCAAGGAGCGAACAATTAAATTTTTTTTTTCAATAGCAGAGATCACATTAGAAGACGCCTAGCGGAAAGGGTCATAGCTCATGAAGTTGGCTCATTCCAAGAGGTTTTGGACCACAATTTCCATAAGCCCCTGGCCGTTCTTTCAGCCTGCAGAAGAGAAATGTGTATGGAGTTGGAGGGAGGGAGGGAGGGAGGGAGGGAGGGAAGGAATGAAAGAATAGAGCAGTGGTCCTCAACCTTGGGTCGGGACCTCATTTGGGGTCGAACGACCATTTCACGGGGGTCGCCAAACAACGCAGTCCGCCATTTTTTCCCCCTGTTCCTTAGCTGTGCTCCTCCCTTTTATTCTATTGGCTTTCGAAAGCCAATAGAATAGACTCTCTTGAATAGAGTCTAATTCTGTTGGCTTTCAAAAGCCAATAGGAATTGTCCAGGCTGTCTCTGCCCTGCTGAGCCCGCCCCATTCTGCAAACGGTGCTGCACCCGTTGAGTAGTCCTCGACTTACGACCGGTTGAGTAGTCCTTGACTTACGACTGGTTGGGGGTCGCGGCATTAAAAAGGTTGAGAACCACTGGAATAGAGGGAGAGAAGGAAGGAAGGAATAGAGGGAGGGAGAGGATAGAAGAAATAGACAGAGGGAGAGGGGAAGGAAGGGAGGGAGGGAGGGGAAAGGAAAGAAGAAATAGAAGGGACAGAGGACGGAAGGAATAGAGGGAGGGAGGGAAGGAAAGAAGAAATAGACAGGGAGAGAGGAGAAGGAAGGAATAGAGGGAGGGAGGAAAGAAGAAATAGAAGGAGGGACAGAGGACGGAAGGAATAGAGGGAACGAGGGAAGGAAAGAAATAGACAGGGAGAGAGGAGAAGGAAGGAAGGAATAGAGGGATGGAAGGAAGGAAGGAAGGAATAGAGGGATGGATGGAAGGAAGGAATAGAGGGAGGGAGGGAGGGAGGGAGGGAGAGGAAAGAAGAAATAGACAGAGGAAAAGAGGGGAAGGAAGGAATAGAGGGAGGGAAGAAAGAAGAAATAGAAGGAAGGAAGGAAGGAAGGAAGGAAGGAAGGAAGGAAGGAAGGAAGGAAGGAAGGAAGGAAGGAAGGAAGGCCAAGATCCCACATTATTCTAAGCCATTATTCTGCAGTTCTCCACATTGATTGTGAAAAATTGGCGAGTGGACAACCTTTTTCCCCCCGCATGCAAAAAACAATTCCCGCGGATCATTTTGAAAGTCCCAGTGGATTGTTTTGCAAGCCCAAATTGATTCAAGAATCCAGATCTATCCCGTCGATTTTCCGACTGAATCTAAAGTTTGAATTAACTTGTTAGCTCAATCTAGATGCCCTGTGGAGGAAAAGGAAGGGGGGGAAAACGCCACGCTAGAGGGAGCTAAAACTCTACCATCCATCGGGAAGACTGTGGACTTTGGATATTGTGAGTTTTTTTGCCCTGCCGTTTAACAATGTCGGCAATATGCATGACTACGCCAAGCCGTGTTTTTAGGCCTTGGGAAATCTACCAAGATCGCAATTACGCGAGCAGGGGTAAAGTGAAAACTGGATTTCGAAGAAGCAAGGATAAGAAGAAGGCTGACACCGTTGAACTTTGGTGTTGAAGATTCATAAGGCGGCCTTGGACAATTCAACAAAACAAACGGTTGGAACTCATCAGCCAGAGTTCGCACCTGAGACACAAATGAAAAGCTCAAATTATCCTACCTTGGACATAGTATATGAAGACCCAGCTCTGTAGAGAAGGCTCAGATGCTGAGAACGAATTAGAATTAGAATTAGAGAGTTGGAAGGGATCTTGTAGATCATCTAGTCCAACCCACTGCCCAACCTGCACCATTGGATGGACTCAGTTATAGTGGTGATGGATGCCCCGTTGGAAGATCTAAAGCAGACGTCTTCAAACGTGGCCCTTTTATGACTTGTGGACTTCAACTCCCATAATTCCTCAGCCAGGCATGAGGAATTCTGGGAGTTGAAGTCCACAAGTCATAAAAGGGCCACGTTTGAAGACCCCTGATCTGAAAGGTCATGTTAGGAACAGGTTTCTCACCATGGAGAAAATCCATCTATATAGTTGCTAAGAATTGACAATGATGACACACAATCAAGACAGTGACTTCTCAAGTTGGGCACAGTCATGTGATTTTTTTTTCCTTTTTAGTGACCAATTTGCTGGCCCCCATTGTCACGAAGCAAGGACGGCCCGTGTTGATGAGAATTTTGGATCCTTCTTTGAAAGAAAGCCCACTAAAGTTTCTTCTCGCCAAAGCAGCGGCGGTACCGAGTGGGCAAAGGCTGCGCCAGCTATTTTTCAATTCAACTTCCCGGCTGAAATCCAACAGAGGTGTGATTCGCACACTTCTGAAAAGGTAACTTTTCAATGGGTTCTGCCTTTTTGGAAAGTAAGCCTGATCGGATTGTGTTAATTCCCCTCTACCTGTAGGAATGCAATCACATTTCAGAAAGGATTTATGTTCTCATTCTCTCTCTCTCTTTCTCTCTCTCTCTCTCTTTCTTTCTCTCTCTCTCTCTCTGTCTCTTTCTCTGTATGTCTATCTATTTCTCTGATTCTCTTTCTGTGTCTCTCTTCTCTCTGTCTCTGTGTCTCTCTCTCTCTCTCTCTCTCTCTCTCTGTATCTCTCTGTTTCTCTAACTCTCTGTCTCCTCTCTCTCTGTCTCTTTAACTCTCTGTGTGTCTCTTCTCTCTCTCTCTGTCTCTTTCTCTGTATGTCTGTCTATTTCTCTCTCTCTCTGACTCTTTCTGTGTCTCTCTTCTCTCTGTCTCTCTAACTCTCTGTGTGTCTTCTCTCTCTCTCTCTCTCTCTCTCTCTCTAATTCTCTCTCTCTCTGTGTGTCTCTGTCTCTCTCTCTCTCTCTTTTCTCTCATGATTCAGAATCAGCTCTTCAGGCTGTGTCAAAGGCTGATTGCAAATATCTGCTTGTTAAAGCTAACACTTGCTGCCAAGGGATTCTCTTAGCAAGCACATACTGGTGACCTCTTTAATCCTGTGGAGTTTTTTTCTCTCTCTTTTTTTTTTGCTTTCTCTAGCTCATAAACTCCCTGTGAATGCAAAAGAGAGAGAGAGAGAAAAAAAATATATGCTGATATTGGAGCCCTACCATAGTCTTGGGGATTTTAAGAGGTGGCATGACAAATCTCTTCAGTTCAGTGGAAGAGCACAGAAGGGGTCCTGTCTGCCCAAGGTTAGGCTTTGTGGACCTCAGGAAACACCCAGCTTCGTGGTATGTGAGAAAGACCTTGGAAGACAGGAGGGAGGGAGGGAGAGTTACACTGGACAGCCGGCCTTTAATAAATGTCTCAGCGCACAGAAAGAGCGGAGGCATGGGAAATCTCTCAGAAGGGACCCTCCCTAGTTTGCAAGACTGAGGTCAGCTTTACCAGGTAGACAGTTAGGAAGCATGGCCAAATAAACCAATTCTACTTGATTGTGAGGGTGCATTAATAGAGTCTTGCAGGTCTGAAAGTACAAATCTCCCTCTGTCCCCTTTACAGTCTGAGAAACTAGGGAGGGTCCCTCCTTTATGCAGCTGTGGGCTACGTGGTCTCTTCTCTGAAAAATCCCTAGGCAGCATCTTTTCTCCCTGTCTCCCAAGGTCTTTCTCACATACCATTACACATGCGGTTGATGTGGGGAAGAATGGAACTCCGCCTCCTCTTCCTCCTCCTCCTCCATTTCTTCTTCTTCTTCTTCTTCTTCTTTTTCTTCTTCTTCTTCTTCTTCCTTCTTCTTCTTCTTCTTCTTCTTCTTCTTCTTATTCTTCTTCTTCTCTTCTTCTTCTTCTTTCTTCTTCTCCTCCTCCTCTTCTTCTTCTTCTTCTTCTCCTCCTCCTCTCTTCTTCTCCTCCTCCTCCTCCTCCTCTTCCTTCTTCTTCTTCTTCTTCTTCTTCTTCTTCTTCTTCTTCTTCTTCTTCTTCTTCTTCTTCTTCTTCTTCTGCTTCTTCTGCTTCTTCTGCTTCTTCTGCTTCTGGTCCTCCTCCTCCTCCTCCACCTTCTTCTGCTTCTGCTTCTTCTCCTTCCCCCTTCTTCTTCTTCTTCTTCTTCTTCTTCTTCTTCTTCTTCTTCTTCTTCTTCTTCTTCTTCTTCTTCTTCTTCTTCTTTTCCTCTTCTCCTCCTCCTCCTCCTCCTCCTCCTCTTCTCCTCCTCCTCCTCCTCTTTCTCCTCCTCCTCCTCCTCCTCCTCTTCTTCTTCTTCTTCTTCTTCTTCTCCTCCTCCTCCTCCTCTTTTTCCTCCCCCTCCTCTCCCCCTCTTCTTCCTCTTCCTCTTCTTCCTTCTCCTCTTCTCTCGTCTCTCCTCTTCCTCCCTTCTCTTCCTCCTCCTCTTCCTGTATCAAAGGAAATTTGACTACTGGGGAAAACAGTTGGTTCAAGAAAAGTTAAATCCAGCCAAGGTAGCCCGCTTTGTTAACTTAAACAAAAGACCTCGCTGAGTATCCAAGCATTTGTAGTAAAACGGGGTGAACTCTCAGGGCACAGACAATTTCTTCTTATTTAATCCTATACCAGCCAAACAAAGGGATAGTAGAAAACTTCTTGGAAATCCCCCTATGCTTGGTTTAGTGCTATCCACCCACTCTAATTGTTTTTATCTTGGCATTGACATTTTCCTTCCCAGCTGGTTAATGACTTAAATGAGTTTCTGCAGCCTTTGGATCTGTGCTTGATTCTGCTTGGAAAATGGGGACAAGCTTCTTAATTGCTTCTGGACTAGTGTGTAATAGGGAAGGAGTGAAGGTTTGAGGAACAGAAGTGAACCTTCCTGATTTGCAAGAAGAAAGTCAACCTTACCAGGCAGACCAGTTGGGAAACAGGACCAGATAACCCAATTCTACCTTCTCATAGAACAGAATAACAATGTTGGAAGGGACCTTGGAGGTCTTCTAGTCCAACCCCCTGCTCAAGCAGGAGACGCCCTAGACCATTTCAAGCAAAGGGCTGACCAATCTCTTCTTAAAAACCTCCAGTGTTGGAACACCCACACCTTCTGGTGGCAGGCCGTTCCACTGGTTAACTGTTCTCATGGTCAGGAAATTCCTCCTTAGTTCTAGTAACTTTAAACTTAGTTCTATTGATGTCAAATCTGAGCGTGGTTTGCCGGAGAAGATGCATTCTGGTCTCTCCGGTTCCCTCTTAGCTTTTTATTGTCTCTTTCAAATGGTGTAGAAACGTGGTTTACCTCTACGGGTCTGTTGATGGTCAGTTGGTCTGAATGCCAGGCTTCCAGCAATTCCCGAATGGGTTTTTTTTTTTTTTTTTTAATTTGGCTTGGGACAGGATGGTCCCCGTTTCCCTGTTGTTTAATCTTTTTGCACGTGGTGAGATTAAAGAGTTATCCTGGCTTTCTGATTGCTCCTGTTTTTGCTGTACAAAAGACTCCCCCCCCCCCAGCAATCAAGTAGGTTTGAGTAGGAAAAAAAAAAAAAACCAAGTCTGCCAATTCCAGGCATAGATCAGCTGCTTAATCCTTAAACCCTCCAGCAATTTTGGCCTCCTCCCCTCCTCCGTGGAGCTCTCTCTCGCGATCCGCTCGGAGGCTTCGGCTCGACCCGTCGGATTGCGGGCTGCAGTTCCCCCCCACCCACCTCCCAACGCCCAGGTTGCAGGTTGTTGGCAAACCCGCTTTTCTTCCGGCTACTAAAAGCGTAAAAACCGGGAGTCCCTTGAAAAATGTGCTTTTTCTTCTTCTTTCTCTTACGCGTCCAAGCTGGAGCATCCCTTTTGCAACCGCGGGAGGAGGGGGGGGGGTTAGTAGCAGGCCGGGGTGCAAGGCGCAGCCCCGCCCCTCCTCTTCCCCCTAGCCCCCCCTGCAGTTTTCCCAGGAGTCGGGGCAAGAGGGGGCTCAGCCCGCTCCAAGCTCCGATTCTCCCCGCCTTGCGGGAGCTGCCGGAGCCTCCCCCTGCCGCCCCCCCCCCACCCTCCTCTTTACCTACCCCACCTCCGGGGGAATCCCTCGGAGGCGGAGCCTGGGGTGGGGGAGGGGAGAGAGAGAGAGAAGAGGGCGGAGCTCTACTGGGAACCCCACCCCTCCCCTCCCCGTCGGCCTTCTTTTGAAGTCTGGGCGAGGCGGGACCCACGCGCGGCGCTTTCCTTTGCCCACCGCCTCGCCACCCCTCTCTTGCTCACACCCGCAGCCGGACTGGGTCGGGAGGTTAACTGTCCGCGAAGGAGGGGTCGGAAAGCAGGTGGGGGTGGGGAGACAGGAAAGGGACCCCTCGACCCCCTTTGGGGATGGGTGACTTCGGTTCCCCCTCTTCCAGCTGGTTCCTAACTTGCTCTCCATCAGTTAACCTGCGCTGGGGGTCCAGCTTTGTCCACTCCTCTTCCCCCCCCAATATATATATATATATATTCCAGGTTCAAACGAGAACTTGAGTTTCTTGCCCTGCAAAGGGGGCGTCGCGCCACGGAGGAGGCGGCGATTCGCAGCCAGCCCAGCCTCTGCCAGGCGCGTTCCGCCTTTGCCAGCGAGGCGGGCGGCGGCGGCGACGGCGCCGAAAAGCGGGACGTTTCCATTTCGGGGACCCTCCCGCCTCCCCTCTTCTTCTGCACCCCCCCTTCCTCCCCTCCGTCTGGGCGCTGGAGGAGCAGGAACCGCGATTCCTTCGAGCTGGCTGGCTTTTTTTTTTTTTCCCTCTCCATCCCTCTCTCCAAAAAGGAATTCTAGTCCGTGGCGCGCCAGACTCCATCTCTCTTTGCGCATCGTTTCCCGTGGCTCCTGCTTTTCCTCGGGTGGGCAAACTTCAGCGCTTCTCACCTTCCTTTCCCCCCCCCTCTCCCTCAAAAGGAGACTTGGTTGCCCCCCCCGTTCCCCCCAGCTTCCCAGCCAACCCCTCCGGGGGGGGGGTGGTGAGGAGAGAAAAAAAAAGAAGGCACAAATTTGGAAAGTCGTCAAAGGTCTGTTTTTGGGTTGGTTTAATTTTTTTTTTGGGGGGGGCGAGAGGATCGCTTCCTATCTTGGCCTCTGAAAGTGACCGTTGTTTGCGCCCCATCCTGGCTTTGCGGGCATGGCTGGCGCTCTGCCGGGCCCCCTTCTGCCTGCCTCCTCTCCCCTTCCCTGGCTCCCAGCTCCGTCCCTTGCAAGCTTCGGGCTGCTTCTTCCCGACTTCGCTTCGGATCGACTCTACCTTGGAAACCTTGGCTGATGTTCCCCGAATAATATATAAGCCGGACGTAGATAGCGGAGAAGCTCCTGTATTTTGAATTTTTTTTTTCTTTTTCTTTTTCTTGGAAAGCGCCCCAGGAGAGAGCCCTGAAATCCAACGTGGAGCAAGAAATACATGTTTGTTTTTGGTAGACCAGCAGATGACATCGCTCTCTCCTTTCCCCCCCCTGGGATGAAGGGGAAAAAAGGCCCGGACAGGTGGCTAGTCCTCATTGTAAAGTTCTCAGGGCAAAGCCTTAACTTCTCTGCAACCCGCTATGGGGATCCTTTGGCTGAGTCAGATCATCCGGTTTCTTTGGCTTCTGCTCTTCAGCCTGGCTGTGGTGCTCTCCAAAGGTAAGGCAAAAATAAATAGAGATAGATAGATAGATAGATAGATAGATAGATAGATAGATAGATAGATAGATAGATAGATAGATAGATAGATAGATGGATGGATGGATGGATGGATGGACGGACGGACAGATGATAGATGGATAGATAGATAGATAGATGGATAGATGGATGGACGGATAGACGGATGGACAGATGGATAGATGGATAGATAGACAGATGATAGATAGACAAACAGATGATAGATAGATAGATAGATAGATAGATAGATAGATAGATAGATAGATAGATAGATAGATAGATTTCACTGCTGTTTAGGTTTTGGCCTCTTTTACAGAGAGATTTATCTGGAGCAAAGCAGAGTGGATTTACAGGTAGTCCTCAACTTACAGCCACAGTTGAGTCCAACACATTTCTGTGCTTAAGTGAAACATTTATTAAGTGAGTTTTGCCCCGTTTTTTATGACTTTCCTTGCCACAGTTGTCAAAATAATTATTCCAGTTGTTAAGCTAGCAAGACGGTTGTTAAACGAACCCGGGTCCCCCGTTGATGTTGCTTGTCATCAGGTTGCAAAAAGGGATCACGTGACTTTGGGACACACCAACGGTTATAAGTATGAGTCAGTTCCCGAGCCTCTGAATTTTGACCGTGGGGACGCGTCAACAGTCGCCAGTGTGAAAAACGGTCATAAGGCGCTTTTATCAAGCCTGTTGTAACTCTGAACGGTCACTAAATGAACGTAAACCAAGGATTTTACCTGTGCTTTCTAAATTACTGCTTCAGGGGTCAAGAGCCCTCCCCGTTTATTTTATTTTGCTTTTTTCTCACTGTTGAGATTTGAATATTAAGTCTCGCCTCCTGCTGAAAAATTCGGGCTTGGCAAGAAAAAAGTATTAAAAAAGTATTTGGGGCCGAAAGCTTGGATGGAGAGAAACATTAAATGATAGATAGATAGATAGATAGATAGATAGATAGATAGATAGATAATGATATGGATGGAGAGAGACGTTAAATGATAGATAGATAGATAGATAGATAGATAGATAGATGATAGATAGATAGATAGATAGATAGATAGATAGATAGATAGATAGATAGGAATCAGTAGATTTGAGACTTCGGAAAGAGTTCAGAGAAGACCAGTAAAAATGATTAGGTGCCTAGAAGCTAAAACATAGGAAGAATGATTGCAGGAATTGGGTATGTCTAGTTTAACAAAGAGAAGGACGAGGGGGGGACAGGATAGCAGTCTTCCAATATCTCAGGGGCTGCCCCAAAGAAGAGGGAGTCAAGCTATTCTCCAAAGCACCAGAAGGCAGGACAAGAAGCAATGGATGGAAACTCATCAAGGAGAGAAGCAACCTGGAACTAAGGAGGGAGGGAGGGAGGGAGGGAGGGAGGGAGGGAGGAAGGAAGGAAGGAAGGAAGGAAGGAAGGAAGGAAGGAAGGAAGGAAGGAAGGAAGGAAGGAAGGGCAATGGATGGAAACTAACCAAGGAGAGAAGCAACCTAGAACTAAGGTGAAATTTCCTGACATGAGAACAATTAACCGGTGGAACTGCTTGCCTCCAGAAGTTGTGGGTGCTCCATCACTGGAGGCTTTTAAGAAGAAGAGACTGGATAGCCATTTATCAGAAATAGTATAGGCCTCCTGCAAGAGCCTAGATGACCTCCAAGGTCCCTTCCAACTCTCTTACTGGTGACTTTGCTGTAGGCGTTTCCGTACATTATTTGGATGAGAAAAACCACATTTTCTGAAATGTTCTGGATGGTTCTTGGTGTAACCAAGAAGGTGCCAAGTTTAGTCCTGGCCTTCCATGGAGTCCAGTGCCCCTCTGAATGTGGGGGCTGACCAGATGACCTTGGCTAGTCTCTATCGGTTAACCTACCTCACAGGCTTGTTGTGATAAAAGGAGATGTTAGAAGGAATGGAACTATATATAAGAATGGAACTGTATATATATATATTTGCTGGAGGGGGCACCTGGGTGGAGAGAGACAATGCTGTGGAATGAATAATGGGTGGGGAAAAGATAGCTTTTCCCTGCTTCTCCTGTGCATGCTACTAGTCCTCAGTGAAGGATAAAGCTTTTCCTTGCTGCCAGGGGCTGTTGGGCTTTTGGTTTCTATAAGGGCTGTCAAACCCATTTTCAAATGAGTGTCAACATTTTCTTAGCTAGCTGACAGGCTATCGTAATGCCAGTTTGAGGTATTTAATGTATCTGGATTAAGAAACAATGTTTTTCTTTCTCCAAGTGGGGTGAAAGGACTTCTTTAACAAATGTGTATTCACAGGTCTTCTCTAGTGTTTCCCTGCTGGGTGTTAAGCAAATAAAAAAATAATCACTGAGTCTCTTTGAACTGAAGAAATATTCGCCTTTTGTGTAGGCGTGCTTGTGTATACACTGGCATCAGCTTTCCAGCTTTGCAAAGTTAGAAACTGTTTGGTGTGGTGGTTAAGGTGCTGGCCTAGAAACTAGGAGACGGTGAGTTCTAGTCCCACCTTAGTCATGAAAGCCGGCTGGGTGATTTTGGGCCAATCACCAGGCGACTGAGTTCTAGTCCTGCCTTAGTCATGAAAGCAAGCTGAATGACTTTGGGCCAATCACCAGGCGACTGTGAGTTCTAGTCCTGCCTTAGTCATGAAAGCCACAGTTGGGTGACTTTGGGCCAATCACCAGGCAACTGTGAGTTCTAGTCCTGCCTTAGTCATGAAAGCCACAGTTGGTGACTTTGGGCCAATCACCAGGAGATGGTGAGTTCTAGTCCCGTCTTAGTCATGAAAGCCACAGCTGGGTGACTTTGGGCCAATCACTAGGAGACCATGAATTCTAGTTCCACCTTAAGCATGAAAGCTGGCTGGGTGACCAGGTATCACCTGGAAGCTCTGAGTTCAAATCAGGATTCTATCTCCGTTTTGAAACATCGGCTTTAAACTGCCAAGGGGCGCTTCTATATGGATTGATTTGAAAGCAACTTGGTCGGAGTGCTGTGGAATTGAATTTGCAAACTGAATCTTTCGCTCAGCCCAGCTTGATAGACAACCCATATTCTAACTAACAACACTGGGGACAAGGCGATTCTTGCCATCTTCTAAACTTGACATTCTACCCAATTTCCCCATGACCAAAGGAGAACTTCTCAAGATCAACTTCTGGTTTTTTTTTTGCTTGAGTTTTGGAAATTTAGCAGTTGGACATCTAGATTGCCCTGCACGATTGATGTTTCTCGGCAACTTTAGAAGGTGTGGCCTTCAGCTGGATGGACAAATGGACGAAGGGGTGGGTGGAAAGGTAGATGGATGGACGAGCAAATGGACAGACAGGTGGGCAAGCTGATGGGCGGACAGATTGACCACTGATGGTCAGATAGAAGATGGACAAATGGATGGGTGACTGGTGGACAGACTGATAGATGAACAAGCAGTTGGACAGATGGGTGGACCGTCTTTCCCCTTTCTTTTTTGGAGATGTGTTTATGGCGTTGGCTTCATTTGGGCAGGAAGGAGGATCTGGAAGAACATCCCAACTTCATTTCCTAGGAACAGCTTATGGGAATTACGGAGTTACGTTATAAAGCTAGTGGGATTATTTGTACTCCTGATTAGACCCCCCATCTGAAATTGGATGTAATTAGAGTTCCTTGAAAATATCTCTGAAAACCATTGAGGTAAACCATAGAGATAATATTTGTAGCTCCAGCTATTAAAGAATCCCTGCTGGATTTTAATGCCTCCGTATTAATAATGCAGCCAACCTTCCTTTGGCTCAAGGCAATTTGAGTTTTTGGCTGGCTGCCATGGTCTACCAGCCCTTCAGGCTTTCTGTTGAACACACATATTTCTGAAACTTTCATGAACCGAGGATGGACAAGCTTGGATTATGCCAGTTTCACCGGAGGTAGCTAGCGAGGAAAGGGATGGCAATGTAAGGACCCACCCCACTTTGCATCTTAAGAAGACAGAACCCTTGGAATAATTCTTCCAACAGGCGTCCTTTATTAAGAGAAAATGGTCGCAGGCGTTCTAGACAGGACTTGGGGTCCAAGCTCTCCCATTCAAGGTTTTAAGGGGTTCCCCAGTAGCCCCACCCAATCACCCCCCCCTCTTCCAGCGACAGTCTCAGGCATTACACTCCCACCCCCTTTTCCTTACTGCCGGCTGGAGGGAGACTTCAGAGAGAACTACATGAAAGGTAATAGCCCCATTGTTATGGTTAGTCCTTTTGGCGATATTCACATTCACATTATATTTCATCTCTAGTTATCAACTATAGAAAACCCCATTTCTGCCTTCTCTGGATTCTGCCATACGATGAAGGGAAGGGGGGTGAACAAAGGGGCTTTATTCCCTTTGTTCACCCCCTTCCCTTCATCGTATAGCAGAATCCAGGGAAGGCAGAAATGGGGTTTTCTATAGCTGATAACTAGAGATGAAATATAATTGGATTCTGACAGGCACCTTGTTAATTCTCATCTAAACCTAGGGGAGATTGATGCCACATTGAAAAAAAAATCTTGCCGAAGCACAGGAGAGGTAGGGCCTTTACTTTTGGGATGAGGTCGGCAAGGTGTTGTGTGTCTCAAGGGTTTGTCTATCACCCCGATTCAGCAGTTTCCCATCTCCTTGAGTGAAATTCTAAAGGAAGATCTCAGGTGAGAATCTTTCCTTCCAAATTTCCACGCTGGAAGCATTTTTGTTTAGCTTTTTCACCCCTGCTAAAAGAGGCTTCTGGTTTTCTTCTCCGTTCCCTAACCTGCTTGGGGATTTCTTTCCAATTTCTTTTGGTGGTATTTCGATCAAACCAGGCAGGAGGCAGCAATGGTGGTGTACTTCTTGGTTATGCAAACTTTTTGTCGCTCTGAAGCTTCTTGGCTGTCCAAACTGGAAAGGCAGAGGGGTTTCTCTCTCTCTCTCTCTCTCTCTCTCTCTCTCTCTCTCTCTCTCTCTCTCTCTCTGCCTTTCTTGAGATCTTCAAAGAAAAAAAATCAGGAAGACGTGCTGA